ACCACCACCACCACCACCACCAGGCAGCAGCACCAGCACCAGCACCAGCACCCGCAACCCGCAACAGCAGCAGCAACAACAACAACAAGAAGAGGAACAATAACAATAACAGGGCAAAACAACAAGAAAATTACAAACAGACATGTCTCTTCGATGTCTTTGTTTCAGATTCCCCGCACCAGTTACACATGAAGCGAAAACGAGCATCGCAGCAACAGGACCACCACAGGACCAGCCTGACGAAGGGACGGAGGGTTCAACCAACGTCACCAAATTCAACAAACACACGACTCGACCAGAAGTCACGAACTACTCGCAGACAACTGCGCAAACCTTCGGAAAACAGGCGAAGGCTGGACAAGCATGTTCTCACATCGGGACGAACTTCATCTTGCAAAGCGCGCTTGACTCCATGAACTCTGAGGATGCTTCAGACACCCGCGGAAAACGCTGCCACACAGGGACACGACCAGGGCACTGACTGCTCACACGAATAGATGTGAGCAAGATACGTGCACTTGGAAATTCTGTTCCCCTTTCTGAAAACCACGCGCGAACAGTTTTTTGCAGCAGCTTATTCGCCAGTTTATCGGGTCCCTAGGTGCCTGACACTTTGCATACTCACATTTGCACACGAGACATTGACACACTTGCAAAGGCCCCGGAAGATACGAACCCCATAAGCCCCGAGGAAACGAGCGATCAAACGAAACCGCTCCATTCCCGCTACACCTTGTAAAGTGTGGCTTTGAAGTCTTCAACGTCGAAGCCGTCCTCACATGAGCAACTCATCCTCTCGGTGCTTCCAACTTGTACCATGGAGAGGAGAGCCCAAATGTGCCTCGCCGATCTTTCTGATGATTTCCTTCCAGGAGCCGGCATAGACTCTAGAGTACCATAGAGTATGAAGGCCAGAGTGCACACTCTTTGGATCCACACTGCGCAAACAAACAAAAGTTGCTGCTGTGGCTGCCTTCGGGGCCATCTGAGCAGAAACGCAACCACAGACCTAAGAAAGTCAGGCAGGCTTTACTTTAGCTTCCGGCACTACAGAGCACCGAACCGGTAATCTGAGGACTCGACAGGAACACCTCAATTTTGGGCGTCGACCAGAAACCCTTGAGCCACCGGCGGGTTTCATGAGACTTGGATGAATCTGCCTGTACATCACTTCACCCAGAAGATTCTAGAAGAAGAGAAGACACGCTCAAGCAGGTCTTACCCTTTTGGTAGCGGACGCTGCCGATTCCTTTTCTTTGACTAGCGCTGTCATCTGGGCGTTTACGGGCGCATCCACTCCCAGTTCCTTGGCCTTGCGGGCGACCCATCCGTTTAAGTAGTCGATCTCGGTAAGTCTGCCGGCTTCCATGTCCTGCAACATGGAGGAGCGGTTCTCTTTTGTTTCCCGTGCCGTTTGGAAGACAAAGTCTTCCAAGTCGAAGCTGGAGAGCTGCTCCTTTTGGTTTGGCTGCAGAGCGCCCGCAACCGCTGCAATCTCTCCACAGATCCGGGATACTTGCATTTGTGCTTCCATGCAGGATAAGATAAAGCCGTTTGGTTTGTTCTGCAGCGCCGTCAAGGGATTGATGGCAGCGTTTGCCGCCAGCTTCAGCCACAAGCAGCGTGCTATGTTGGGTCCCTCATTGACAGCTCCAAGTCCGGCAGTCTCCAAGCTCTGCAACGTCGAAAAATACCAGTCCTCCTGAACTTCGGTGGTACCAAACCTGGTCTGGCCCCATCCTGCATGCACGACATCGAAAGGGGCCCGCGACCACGCCCCATGCGTCGTGATGCCAAGAATCAGGTGCACGTGGCCTAGGCTTCGACCTGCCCCATGGACGATCTGCTCATGTAGGGCAAGTGCTCCATTCGACAGCAAGATAATGACGGCACCTGTCTTCAGTTGCGGTGCCAACATCTCTAGGGCTTGCATGGCAGAGTAAGCCTTTGTTGCTACTAACACCCGACTAACATCTTCTCCGGGTCCCGACACCGATCCGGCGTCGACTGCAACTGGCGATGGTTTACCGTTGCTTCGGTGCCCGTCCACTCGCAGTAGGACTTTCCCTGACTGGCAAGCGGCCAGCTTGACAGAGTTGGGTCGCAGCAACAGCCGGGTTTCAGTGCCTGCCCGGGTCAATGCAGCCGCCCAAAGGCAACCCATGGAACCAGCACCTAGAATGTGCATTGCCATTGGCGCCCGTGGTCGAAGATTGGATGGCACGAGTTTCGTTGCCTGTGGCTGCTCATGTCAGAACTGGTCCTCTGCAGACTGCGAGTCCACATTACGGCTTTGGAACCGACCTCAAAACTACGGTTAAATGCTTTGCCAGCTTTAGGTTTAGAGCATTAGAGCCATGATCTGGAGTGGCTTCCTGGCACTACGCCGTCCAGGGATTTAGCCTCGGACTTGAGACCGCTACTGCCGATGTGTGTGTGTGTGTGTGTCGGAAACTGGTTTGTCGTGTTCTCTGGCTTACCTTCCTGTGCCCTCAAGCCTGAAAGCGCATTTGACGTGTTACATCGTGTTACCAGGCGTTGCAGACCCGCATGCTGCATCGATGTGCGGGTGTGTGTGTGTGTGGCTAAAGAGTCGGTTTGGCGCAGAAATCAGCTGGCACGCATCACAACTTAAGCGTGTCTATGTTGGACAGCCAATGTCCCGCTGACCGTAGTTGCAAGCGTCATCGTCGCATCCCCATTTTCCTGCAGAGTTCTCTGGCCTACATGGCCGTCATGTCTTTGGACGGCAACTATTGCATTAGCAAGCACGTGTACAGTGGAGAGGCCACATTCCGAATCAATCAGCTACAGCCCAGAACAAACAGCACGTGGGTAGTTTTCATCAGGGCCTGCTTGTGGGCCCCTAACAAGGACCCGGGAGGGCCCGAGACACGGACCTCATGGATGAAATCGGCGACTCAGCTGCGGCAGGCTGCTGTCGTGCTCCAATGTCCTCTGTGCAGCATGCCAACTGCAGTGTCAGGATGGGTTCCTGCGACAGAAGGACCTCACGATGTCTGCACGAGGTGTCGGAGGTGTTGACAAGGAGGAGTTGCCTTGGCTCAACTGCTGACAATTCGACTGCAAGGAGTTCTTCCAGCAAGGCTTGGCATCACGGCAACTGGCCAACTTTGGGGCAGATCGCGCGCAGCTCTCCCTGGCCAGAGACGAACATCCACATACAATCCAGACAATGATAGTCATTACTGCTCGCAGCTGCAGTAGCATATGCTTCCGTAGGACACTGGTTCTGCAGCCGTGCATGCGCAGACGCTTCCTCACCAAGGGGCTACAGATCCAGCGGTAGAGCCCTCAGATATCGCAGTGCTCCTAGCCCTCAGCTCTAACAAAGAGAAGATGTTCAGGAAGTTGTGAGACCGAACAGTGGACTCGGTCGGTGGACATCCGGCATCATGCCCGTGGGCTGCGAAATGCGAGGCAACGCAACGCCCACTTTCTCAAGCCCTCTGTACAGCCATACTCAGGTAGCAGAAGCTGTGAGACCCATGCGTCTGTCACCCATCGGTGATTCGGTGAGCAAGTCTACAGGTCTGCCCCCAGGCTACCACAACAGCTGAGTCGGCGAGCCTAGTGTTCAGAGATTCTGACAGCCTAAACTGAAAAAAGATGTCCGATTGTCAGCTGGCGACACAGAACAACTAGAAGAGAGACCTCGCACCGAGTGCACAAGTCTACCGTTGCAGAAGAGCTTCAAGCATAGCGAGCATGCCATCCCCATGCTCTGTCCGAATTCCAGTCAGATTCTACAGAGCCTACGGGCAAATTGTTCAGAGGGTCGTCTCTAGCCGGAGCATGCCACGACCTCCTCCAGCACAGCGTCGAGTCGTGGCAAGGGCTCTTACATCCTGTTTCATCGCTTCGAATTGCTGCGACCCGCATCTGAGAAGCTGGCGCTCGGTGAGCTTGGTGGCACAGGGCACACAGAGCTCGAAGCGAAGCCCGGTTTGCTCAGGACACGAAGGACAAGCGTAGAACTGACACGGCCGCAAGCATGAAGCTCAGATCACGAGCACAGCACAGCGACGAGCATTCTTGCAAGCTCCGATGCCTCATTGGACATGATGTAGGCTTTCCTTGCAGGCAAGGATTGACTGCATCAGGGATAGTGACACAGCGGCACATAACTTCGAGGCTGCAATCATCCCTTGAAACCCCGGAGTGTTCGTTACAGGTTCCAGTTTTGCAACATCGCATGTTGCCTGCGCACTTACCTGCGAGAGTCCCTGCAGGTTCAACACTGCTGTCTACTGAAACTGCAAATTTTCTGTCTTTGGCCAAGGAGAGCACGAAAGAATTTCGCGGTCTCTTCAGCGATCGTTTTGCAGCGTTCGCTTGCGCTGCTGCGAACCGTGGGGGCGGGTATGACGCTGTCGCGTGCCGCTTGCAAACACGAACACACGAAGCGTGCCTCTGGCCGAATACCATTTCGTAAAGAGAAGGGGCAAGCACACTTAAGCCTTAAGCACTGAAGCCTCAAGCACGGCACTGCGCCGTTCTCGCTAGCACGGCTGTGCTGGGATGGCTCGACACCAGAGCACACCCTGCCCCCACATGCCTTCTGAACAAGCGTTGAGTTCCGGCTTTATTCCCGGTAAAGTTCCGCCAATGTGCTAACTCTCTGGTCTTGCGGCCAAGCATCTTACCAGGATCCTGCTTCAGCCTGACAGGATCTGAAAAAAGCTTAAGGGATAAAGGCCGAATGCCGGCCGCACTGCAGGCCAAGGCCCAGGCTCTTGAGCTTTTTTCAATGATCCTGCAGCGAGGCTTTAAGGCGGCAACAGCCGTCGGAACTGTCGTTTCAAGACCCGGCCAAGGCCTTGGTCCTTGTCGCGAGCGTTGTCTGAAGTGCCTGACGAGTTAATCCATCATCCTTCAGCTTTCGTCGGAAAGCAGACACTCCTTGCCTCTGCCGACGACAACAACTCCGCACAGATCACAAAGAACCCGGTGCAGATGCGGAGAGCCTCGGAGTTGCTTTCGGTGGTCTTGTCAAGGTATCTCAAGAATCAAGGTTCGATGCGGGCACCTACGATGTTCTGAATTTCGACTGTATCCCTAGTAGGTCGGTATAATAAGCTCCTGGCTCGGATAGGCATTTTCCAGGCTTTGCCGTCGAATCAACATACGATGCCTTGGCTGTCTTCGGCGGTCACCTCCCCCTAGCATCACCTCTACAACTCACTTGGCTCAGCGCTGGCATTTCAGATAATGAGGATGAAAGCCGTCACCAGAGTACTTACCTGATATGTATGAGGAGAAGGGCAGCCAGAGACTTAGCGACAGAGTGAGAGAGAGAGAGAGAGGCAGAGGCCGGAAGAAAGGGAGAGCGAGAGACAGAGAGAGGCAGAGAGAAAAAGAGAGATTAACACAGAGAGAAAGAGATGGAGCGAGAGATAGGCAAACTCAGACGCACGCAGACAGGATTGGAGGAGTCAAAGCAAGACACCATGTCATGGAAGTGGTGCCGAAGATATCCGAAGATGAAGGCACTCAGTGTAAGCCGGCCTTCACCTTGAAGAATTTCCAGCACATGGCACTGAATACAAAGCTCAAACCTGTCAGGGTGCATGCGGCTTTGCGACACTTTGCGGCGATTGCCGCTTGAACTGCACACATCTCCATACCAACCAATTGTAGACAATCAACAGCCAAACCACTGATTGTCCCTCTCGTCATGGCCCAAAGAGTAATGTGCCGGAAGACCAACAACACTGGTATTTTCAGTAGTCGCATGGAGAATCCATGACTCCGAGAATCTAGTTCCGATTTCCAAACCAAGATCATGAGCAAGCCCATGATTCTTTGGGGTTTAGGGTCACAGCCTGCGTTTCCTCAACAAATTAGAGCAAAGTCTGCCTTCTTCCGCTTCGCTTGCAGCGGCGGCAGTAGTAGAAGAAGCGTCCTTCTCAGGCGATTCTGGAAGGGCTCATTCCCAGGCCACAGTGGACGATTTTCAACGCTTCAGATGGAGCGATATCGACGATATCGACATGTAATGCGGTCGCTGGTCGAATTTCGTTCATCGCCACACGACCGTCTTCACAGCAAGGAGCTACCTCCACGCCGCTTCTGTATGACCGACCATCGTGAAACCTGACCTAATCACTCCGAACCCTGGCAAGCAGATCGCAATCTAGTCTAGACCCCCAAGCGCATCTGAACTCGTCATTTACTGCTTGGTGATGGTTGCCTCGGCCTTCTCCTTCGGAGTTCTGAAAAGTGTCAAGTGTTGCTCTCAGGGCTCCAGCTTCGGCCATGGTCGGAGTCTCATGATGAGTATCCATCGTATTCATGATCCATGATGTCCTCGCTTTCATAAACTGTTGTTGCTGTCATGCTGCAGTGCAGTCACGGAAAGCAGGGTTATGCAACCACTCTTATAGCCATAAGAGTCATAAAGGCTCTACTAGTCTACTTCCAGCCCGAGTGGCACTTCCTTAGCATTTCCCTCTCCCGCGAAGACCATAAGATTCTTAGATCATCTTAGATGGATCAATCTTCATGCAGTCATGCTCGGGGATGCAGCAGGTCCATCCGGCTTGTCAGCATCTGCCAAGTTCATGCCGCAGTTGTCGCAGCTCACCTGCGACAGGGAGGGCTGCACACTTTGCTTTGGAGTCCTTGGTCGCCTCTACCTTGAGCCTTTTACCATGGTGCGGACGAACAAGCACACAACGGGACAGCTTGGTGCTGTGACCTGCTCCACTTTGGCGATTCGTCGGATCCTCATCGAGTCGCCTTCCGTGGCGAAAGCAGCGTATGAAGACCACACCTACGAGCCTGGGACTTAGGACGAGGGCACCTGTTCCTCCCAACAGCTGCTCTGTGGCCGTCGGCTTGTCCCGCTTCTTCCCTCGGAAGCCGACCTGTCTAACGACAGTCGGAACCATCAGGAAAGAAGCATTGCAGGTTGCATTGCCTGAGTCCGAATCTCGATGAAGGAGTAGCACAGAATGCAGCAGCAGTTTTGAAAGCTTTAATGTTCACATGCTCGCATGCCATGTTGGCAGAAGCATCTAAGAAGAACATCCGGAAGCCCTGTCTAGGGTCCCGGGGGTTCCGGAACATTGAATCGCCAGAGAGGTGCATTTTACACCGACACATCCGAGAATGGCTCGGACAGCTAGACTACAAACTGGGCAGCCACATGTCAGGTCGAGTGCTGACTCACCCGGCTCGGGCGACATGGGCACCTAAACTGTTCAGCTTTATTTCCTTCGCATGCCGATTTCCAGCAGGCACGAAGCGTGTGGGAAAGTACTCTGGGGTGTGAAAGTTGACGGCGCTGTGGGACTGGAACTGTTCACGGTATGTTGTCTGAAACCGCTCCTCCGGCGGAAGGTCAGTTGCCTCCTCTCCCGTGGCAACGACGGCACAAGGTGGCAGTGGCTTCAATACGGCCGGGATGCCATATCCGAAGCTGGGAGGCTCACTCTTCGGTTTCGGCAAGATTCCAAGATCTCGCGACTTGCCCCTCTTGGAGCCGGTGCCGGTCGCACTTCGCTCCGAAGTCTTTGAAGGAGGACTGGGCGGAAATGGCTCCGTGAGGTCCAGCCGATCCACCCGATGCTTCGACTCGGGTTCTGCACACCTCGGAGCTTGAGCAGGAGCTGCCTGAGCCTGATCCTCCCAATCCTCGGCGACTTCGGGTGTCATCATACCAGTCATGGGCCCGCCAAAACCGGACTGTGGAATCAACGGTTGCAGCTGTCTCGTCCGAGGCCCTTCCAAGAAACGATGCCGCCAAAGCTCGAAATTCCCCATCCCGACTGCCGGCTTGCCCCGAAATGTCGATCCCCAATGCCGGTAGTACCGTGCAGGTTTCTGTGGCGGCTGGGGCGGCCGCATTCTGGCCCAGCTCTTGCTGGTGTCCATGCCCTCAGTCCGATTCACCGACGTTCATGGAATCATGGCTATCTCGATTCATGGAGCCTCGCGCTGCGGTGTGGGGGACGGCTCGAAGGTCATGCAACACACAAGTGCAGTTCATGAGGGAATCATCGCCCCTATCAAAAGTGCAGCAGGGCCTCATAAGCATCACGCACTTTGCTGCATAGCACCATGTCATCCAAACGGCACTCGTACCTGGCAGGGATACAAGCCCAAGTGCCACCAAGGCCGCCGGGACTACGCATAGCCTTCCAAGAAGACACCTGATACAAGCGCAGCACACGAATCAAACACTGGCTGTGGCCACTCCATCTCGTGCCCCAGAGGCCAGTGTGCAGGTGCGCCAGCTCCGTACCTAAACGGCTTACGTGCCACCCGTTGCCCAAGCTGACGCAGGCAAAGGAAGGCTAAAGGATCTTGCTTCGGCTTCTCTTCGTCGAGGAGTGATTCATAGAACCTGCCATCTGCCCAGGCAAAACATTGAGCACAACGTTTCACGAAGCTCAGTATCGCGGCGGGCAGACAGTTAGATGACAAATACTGCTGTGAGGGTAACTGGACCAATTGGATGTACTGCTCCGCAAATCTATGACAGCTGACGCACCCGTTCCATCTGTTTTACGATTCATTTCAGTACGAAGATAAACCTGAAGAAGCTGATTGAACGGATGATCTGGCTACTCGCAAGGAATGTATATTCTGCAAAGCGGGAATGTTAAAGGATTGATGGTAGCACAGTCTGCTATGCAGGCCTGTGGTACCTCTGCTCCTAGCTCACTTTCATAGCTCTTATCGTGACACCAACGAATTGGACGAGACATCGAGGTCCGTTCGCACCAAGTCATGTATGTTGTTGACCTGACGCTACCACGTCAGGTCTTTGGTTGACGCAAAGGTTTATCTGAACTAGTTTATGTGATGTCGTTGACCATACAGGAGACCACGAAGCAATCTCAAGCGCGGATGTTCTGAAGTTAGTCTTTGTTTGTTCAAGTAGGTCAAAGATTTGGTGGCATGACCGAAAACATCCGGCATCGGTTCCCCCGATCGGCCGTAGCCGTAGCCACGCCAACCGAAACCTTTGCTTACCCAGGTAAGGCTGTTTAAACTGACGACACGCGACGACGCTGACGACGCTCCCAAGCACCCAGGCCCTACATGGCAAAGACTATCTAAGGGCGCCTGTCTGGATGGACGTTTGAAGGAAACTGCCAGCCTCGGTCTCTGGCGCGGTGTCACATTTCCACAGCAAACTGAGGCTGGAACCTGAAAAGGAAGTCGCCAAAAGCTTGGTCTTGTCTGGTCTCACACCTGGCTGTTCATCTGGACAACGCAGGCTGTTGCGAGGGCAACCTCACTGCATCTCACTGCCAATACACAAGTGCGCCTGATCGAAGCCACGATCCCCAGGCCCGACCTTTCGGAAGAAAGCTCTCGTTTTTTGGGCAGTGGCAGGCAAAGACAGTGAGCATACGTTCCGAGCCTCTTCGGGAAGCTTCCTGCAGGTGCCGCGTGCAAGTTTGAGCCTTTTGCGTTAATTGAATTGTCCTTCTTGCCACTAGCCGGCTGCAGGGTCCTTAAGCACTTGCTTGGGTTAGAAGATGACAGAACCAAGTCTAGATCCACGAGGAACCGCCCGAGAGCCTGACAGCGATGCTTGAGGAAGCTGCGGAAGGTGAGGCTTGCCCTGAGCGCACCAGAAAGCTTGACAAACAGCTTGACACATGTTCGCAGGACTTCTGTGGTCAGCTAGATTCGGGCAAGACGACAGCATGCATTGCACCGTCGACACCTGAAGCAGCGCCGGCGATGATGTGGTCTGAGCCATCCGGTATTTGGCCTCGCCTTCAAGCTGTCCGGGACTGTTGGATTACTGCGACTTGCATCTCTCATGCAATAAACCTAGGGATGCATTGGATGCCATTTCTTGCCATCCCCACGCCTGAGAATGGATTCGGATTCATGATGTTCAGGTCGCCGAAGCGAGACAGCGGCGAGCGCCTGACATCTTCCAGCATATTCAGCCAATTAGCATTGAACATGCTACGCTCGCTGTCCACATGCAAGCCGCAATTCATTGGTAGAGTTCAGGCTAGGAGTCACTATGGCCCCACCACCGAACATCGTCGGAACAAATATGTTCCTGGCGAGGACGATTGCAAAAGCCGTGGCTGGAAGGCGTACTCGGATCTGTTTGATCAGCCTTGTCGGCTTGCCGGCTTATCTTTTGAAAATCTCGACAACACTTCCGGCAATTGCATCATACATGCGTCAGAACCAACAAGAACAGCAAACACAAGAGGTTACCTACCTACCTACCTGCCTACCTGCTTGTATCTAGTTCTGTGTGCATGTGCACACATCACGGCTCTGCATAAGTGTGAGACCCAACCCTGAGACCCCGGCTCGGGATGCTCCTCGAAGAATTCGACTCGAACAGCAGGTGCCTGACAGGAACCACAGGAATCGGACTAGTTAGCACCGGCCGGAAACAGTATGGCTGCGCAGAAGTTGCGGGTGCGTGTCTACTTTTATGGTCAGGCGCTCAACGGCCCCCCCTTCCCCCCCCATTGTCCATGGTCCAGGATGCCACCCCCCCACCCCGCCTGTGGGTGGGGTGTGGGGTCCCTCTTCCCCCTGTGGTGCGGTTGTGGGGTTTTGGGGTTTAGGGTTTAGCTCAAGCTGTTGAGTTTGGGGTTTAAAGGGCTTAAGGTGAAAAGTTATAAGGCTTAGAGTCGACAAGAGCTTAGGGAGGGCTTGGGGTGTGGGTTGGTTAGGGTGAC